TGCTATGCCTTGCTGTTGGCTCTGTGGCTTGGGGGCTTTACTCATTCCATTGTGCAAGTAGCCCTTATTCTCCACTTGCCCTTCTGTGGCCCAAACCAGCTGGATAACTTCTTCTGTGATGTGCCACAGGTCATCAAGCTGGCCTGCACAGACACCTTTGTGGTGGAGCTCCTGATGGTCTCCAACAGTGGCCTGCTTACCTTGCTGTGCTTCCTGGGGCTTCTGGCCTCTTATGCTGTCATCCTTTATCGTGTGAAGGGACACACCTCTGAAGGCAAACACAAGGCTCTTTCCACATGTACCACACACATTATCATTGTGTTTCTCATGTTTGGACCAGCCATCTTCATCTATACTCGCCCCTTCAGAGCCTTCCCAGCTGACAAAGTGGTTTCCCTCTTTCACACAGTGATCTTTCCTTTGATGAACCCTGTGATTTATACTTTTCGCAACCAGGAAGTGAAAGCTTCCATGAAGAGGTTACTGAGTCATCACATGATTTGCTGAATAGAAGAATGAAATAAGCTACAAAGAAGAAAATCTAATTGGAATTAATTAAATCACTTATTCATTAATGCACAAGGACACCATTGCATTTTAGCAAATATTACATTTATTAAGCACTTGCAATTTTCAGGCACTATTCTAGGTATGTGAATAAGGCAGTTGAGAGTCTAGGTCTCTTGGGGTTATATTCAAGTAGATAAAAACAGATTGAGCTATTAAATTGAAAATGACCTCTAGGAACTTGTTGGATTGAGCACTGGGTGTTGTATGTAAGTGATGAACAATGGAAATCCACCTCCCAAACCAAGAGCATACTGTACACACTGTATGTGTATATGTGTAATTCATTATACATATAATTGTAAACTAAATAAAAAAAAAATAAAATGACCTCTAATATCCAAAAGAGATAGTTATCTGAAACAAATAAAAAATACTGTTATGATAGAGTTTGACTAGAGATGGGAGTTTTTGCCTATGGTAGTTAAGCAAGGTCTTGTTGAATTGTGGTTAGCTGATATCCAGATGAAACATCCATGCAATTTTCTGGGGACACAAAATTCTAGGAAAAGAGGCACAAAGATCTTATAAATTTATGCATTTGAAGACCACAAAGATGAATATAGTAGCTTGTCAAATAAGTTGATATATGTAAATAAGAATGTACTAAACACTGTACAGAAAATAGTATGATATATTCTTGGTTTTATATATATATAACTGTGTATATATACATAAATATATATATATATACACTGACAATAATGAAAAATGAAAGACACATAATAGGACTATTATGGATATAATTGGTATAAATTTGCTTTATTGTCTTTATATTTATTTATATTTTTTCACATTTTCTGCTTTTTTGTTTAACTGAAAAAGACAAGTAAACAGATTCCCTCATAGAGTCTCTCATTCATCTTTTTCTGCTTTCATTCACTTAGTATAATATATTATAGTTCCATCCACATTGTTGAAAATGGCAAGATTTCTTTTTTTGATCACCAAGTAGTATTCCATTGTGTGTATGTGCGTGTGTGCGTGCATGTGTGTGTGAGCGTGTATGTGTGTGTATTACCTCTTCTTTATCTATTTGTAAGTTGATGGATATGTGGGATCTTTCCATAATTTGGCTATTGTTGATAGTGCTCTATAAACATTGGGTATGATGCGCCCCTTCAAATCAGCAGTTTTGTATCCTTTGGATAAATACATAGCAGTGCAATTGCTGAGTCATAGGGGGGTTTATATTTTTTATTTTTTTGAGAAACCTCCATACTGTTTCCCAGAGTGGTTGCACCAGTTTGCAGTCCCACCAACAGTGCAAAAGGGTTCCCCTTTCTCCATATCCTCACCACATGTTGTTTCCTGAGTTAATTTCAGTTATTATGACAAGTGTGAGGTGTTATCTCATTGTGGTTTTGATCTGTATTTCCCTGGTGATGAGTGATGTTGAGCATCTTTTCATGTGTCTGTTAGCCATCTGCATATCTTCTTTGGAAAAGTGTCTGTTCATGTCTTCTGCCCATTTCGTCATTGGAGTATTTGGTTTTTTTGGTGTTCAGTTTGGTAACTTCTTCATACATTTCGGTTACTAACCCTTATCTGATATGTCATTTGTAAATATCTTCTCCCATTCTGTCGATTGCCTTTTTAGTTTTGTTGATTGATTCCGTCAACATACAGAAGCTTTTCATCTTGATGAGGTCCCAATAGTTCATTTGCTTTTGTTTCCCTTGCCTCAGGAGACATATCTAGTAAGAAGTTACTGTGGCTGAGGTCAGGGAGGTTGCTGCCTGTTTTCTCCTGTAGGATTTTTATTGTTTCTTATTTCACATTTAGGTATTTCATACATTTTGATTTTTTTGTGTGTATGGTGTAAGAAAGTGGTCCAATTTCATTCTTCTGCAAATCACTGTCCAGTTTTCCCAGCACCATTTTCTGAAGTGACTGTCTTTTTTGCATTGGATACTCTTTCTTGCTTTGTTGAAGATTAGCTGGCCATACATTTATGGGTCCATTTCTGTATTCTCTATTCTGGTCCATTAATATATGTGTTTATTTTTGTGGCAGTACCATGCTGTCTTGATGATTACAGCTTTGTAAAACAGCTTAAAGTCTGGAAATGTGATGCCTCCGGTTTTCCTTTGATTTTTCAACATTACTTCGGCTATTTGGGGTCTTTTCTAGTTCCCTAAAATTTTAGGATTGTTTGTTCTAGCTCTGTGGAGAATGCTGGTGTTATTTTGATAGGAATTACATTTAATGTGTAGATTGCTTTGCGTAGTATCGACATTTTAACAATGTACGTTCTTCTCATCCATAAGCATGGAATGCTTTAACATTTCTTTGTGTTTTCAATTTCTCTCATGAGCTTTCTATAATTTTCAGCATACAGATATTTCACCTCTTTGATTAGGTTTAGTCCTGGGTATCTTATTGTTTTGGGTGCAATTTGGGATCGACTGCTTGATTTCTCTTTCTGCTGCTTCATTATTGGTGTATACAGATGCAACCAATTTCTGCATGTTGATTTTACATCATGCAACTTTGATGAATTCAATTATCACTTCTAGCAGTTTTTTGGTGAAATATTTTTGGTTTTCCATGTAGAGTATCACATCATGTCATCTGCAAAGTGTCAAAGTTTAACTTCTTCTTTGCAAATTTGAATGGTTTTTATTTATTTTTATTTTCTGATTGCCGAGGAAAGGACTTCCAGTACTCTATAGAACAATAGTGGTAAGAGAGGACATCCCTGTCATGTTCCTGACCTCATGGGGAAAGATTTCCATTTTTCCCCATTAAGGATGATATTTGCTGTGGACCTTTCATAATGGCTTTTATGATGTTGAGGTATGTTCCTTCTATCCCTTTTTTCTTGAGGGTTTTTATCAAGAAAGAATACTGTATTTTGTCAAATGTTTTTTTCTGCATCTATTGTAAGGACATTTGTTTGGTTATATGAACAAATTATAGATGAGAATTTCTCTAATCTGGGGAAGGAAACAGGCATTCAAGTCCAAGAGGCACAGAGAATTACTTTCAAAACCAACAAAAACAATGAACACCATGACATACTATAGTGAAACTTGCAACATATAAATATAAAAAGAAAATTCTAAAAGTAGCTAGGAACAAAATGTCCTTAACCTAACAATGGTTGACTCATAAGGTAAGTAGCAGATCTCTCCATTGGAATTTGGCAAGCCAGAAGGGAGTGGCAGAAAATATTCAATGTGCTGAACAGGAAAAATATGCAGCCAAGAATTCTTTATCCAGCAAGGCTCTCACTCAGAATAGAAGGAGAGAGAAAGACTTTCCAGACAAATAAAAACTAAAGGAGTTCATGACCACTAAACTAGTCCTGCAAGAAATTTTAGGGGGACTCTCTGAGTGAAGAAAAAGAAAACAGACCAAAGCAGCAAAGACTACAAAGACCAGAGAACATCACCAAAAACACCATTTCCACATAACGCAATGATACTAAATTCAAATCTTTCAATAATCACTCTGAATGTAAATGGTCTAAATGCTCCAATCAAAACGCATAGGGTAAGAGGACCTGGGTGGCTCAATTGGTTAGCATCCAACTTGCCTCAGTTCATTATCTCATGGTTCTTGAGTACGAGCCCTGTGTTAGGCTCTGTGCTGACAACTCAGAGGCTGGAACCTGCTTTGGATTCTGTGTCTTCCTCTAATTCTGCCCCTCCCCTACTCTCACTTGGTCTTTCGCATTTAAAAAATTTAAAAAAATATGATATCACAATGAATCAAAAAAAAAAAAACAATATCCATCAATATGCTGCCTACAGGAGACTCATTTTAGACCTAAAGACACCTGCAGATTGAAAGTCAGGGGATGGAGAATCATGTATCATTGTAATGGACTTCAAAAGAAGGCCAGAGTAGCCATACTTATATCAGACAACCTAGATTTTAAAACAAAGACTGTAACAAGTGGAAAAGAAAGGCATTATATCATAATTAAGAGGTCTATCCATTAAGAAGATGTAACAATTGTAAATATATATGCCCCCAACTTGAAGTTATCCACATATATGAATCAATCACAAACATAAAAAAACCCACTGATAATAATACCTTCATAGTAGATTTTAAACCAACGTACAGTAATGGACAGATCATCCAAATGGAAAATCAGCAAGGAAACAATGGCTTTGAATAACAACTGAAGCAGATGGAGTTAGCAGATATATTCAGAACATTTCATCCAAAAGCAGCAGAATACACATTCTTCTTAAGTGCACATGGAATGTTCTCCAGAATAGATCACATACTAGGTCACAAATCAGCCCTCAACAGGTACAAAAAGACTGAAATCATACTATGCATATTTCAAATCATAATGCTATGAAACTTGAAATCATCACAAGAAAAAATTTGGAAAGCACTATAATACATTGAGATTAAGGAACATTCTACTAAAGAATGAATGGATTAACCAGGAAATTAAAGTATAAATAAAAAATAACATGGAAGCAGGGGCGCCTGGGTGGCGCAGTCGGTTAAGCGTCCGACTTCAGCCAGGTCACGATCTCACGGTCCATGAGTTCGAGCCCCGCGTCGGGCTCTGGGCTGATGGCTCAGAGCCTGGAGCCTGTTTCCGATTCTGAGTCTCCCTCTCTCTCTGCCACTCCCCTGTTCATGCTCTGTCTCTCTCTGTCCCAAAAATAAATAAAAACACTGAAAAAAAAATAAAAAAAAAATAACATGGAAGCAAATGAAAATGAAAACACGTCATCCAAACACTTGGGATGCATTAAGTCCAGGTGTAAGAGGCAAATACATTGCAATTCAGGCCTATTTGAAGAAGCAAAAAAGGTCCCAAATACACAATGTAACCTTACAATTAAAGGAGCTAGAAAAGGAGCAGCAAATCAAGCCCAAAGCCAGCAGAAAAGGGAGATAATAAAGATTAGAACAGAAACAAATGATATAGATACAAAAAAACAAGAAGAGATCAATGAAACCAA